GAGGTCGATGTACCTCCCTGACCGGAAGGAACTCTTCCGGTCAACGAGGTAGATGTACCTCGCTGATCGGAAGGGTTTCCTTCCGGTCAACGAGGCACATGTACCTCATCAACCGGAAGGAAACCCCTCCGATTGATGAGGTACATCTACCTCATCGACCGGAAGGAAACCCTTCCGGTCAAGACACTTGGGGGCGGTACCCGGAGCGGTACCCGGGTACCTCCCCTTTTTTTGCCAAAAAACCGGCACCCGGCACCGCACCCGGCACCGCCTGGCGGGTGCGAGGCGGGTGCGGGCGGTACCCGCCGAGCGGTACTAGGTACCTAGCAACGGGTACCGACGAACGATCTCTATGTGGGCCAGCTACACTGACTTGAGCGTCAGCAAAATATAGTGCAGCAAAATACTTCTAACACTACAGCTATTTTCTGTTAGCTGTTAGCTGTGTCACACTATCACTGACGGGAAAATTTTGATGCTGCTAGGCAGCCTTACATGTCTTTTTTAGAGGGGGGTTTTCACAAAGAGTGGTGGAATGCAGTGTAGTGTTAGTGTAGTGCTTCTATCAACCTGCTAACGCTATGGCATCACAAGGGGTTTTTCAGGGTTTCTACACTGCTTCTAGGGGGTTGTTTAGCGTAGTTCAGTGTAGCGGCCCACCATTGCTCTAGGTCACTATTTTCTGAGATATTCTTTCATTTAATCACAACCACATTTTGACCACTTGTATCTAGTCTATTTGAGAACCAGCTAGTCCAAGTAATTTACATGATCAGTTCTTCCTCCTTCTTTTTCCGCACCTGAGACCATTATAGTAAGAACTTTTCCTTTCCGCCCTTTAAATCATTATCTCAGCTCAGATTTCAAAATATTCTAAACATGTTCCTTTGAAGTGGCCTCTCCCAATCTAAATTGATCATTAATGATTTTATGCAACAAAACTCGAGTTCCACCACTATCAACACCATTCTTATAATAGGCTGATGCGGACAAATGTTGATGAAATGATGCACATATATTAAATATATGAATTCCATTGTTTTTAGTGGACAAAAATAAATGCTGAATTTTCAGGGCTCTGGGGCTAATGATATCCTGGTTCAAGGCTCCATCTCATCCCCAAATCTGATTCTCTAGACTTGTGTCACCAGGAAATATATGAGGTCAGTAGGTGTCAGGTGACATGAAGTGACATATTTTACAACTCCATTGTTACTCTGGTGCTTGTCTGCTTAAATAAAGATGTTTCCTTTGTGGTCATCAGGGAGTCCTGACTCTTTGACTTTGAAGTAAAACTGGAATAAAGGCAGGAGTTAGCTTCATGTCACCTGACATGGACTGCCCTCAAATCTTTCATGGTGTGTGTCACAAATTTTGTTGTGTTAGTCTTCTAGGACTCATATTTCACTTGTTTTCCTGTATAAATATGGCCTGGAGGGACCCAGGTACTGCATCAATTGTTGGACAAAACCAGGCACCTGGTACCACAGCTGGAACCTCTGTGCAGATACCAGAGGTACTCTGGCCTTGGTGTCCAATCACTGTACCACACCCAGTACCACTTGGCGGCCCGCGGGTACCATAAGACAAAAGGGTGACACATTTACTGTCTTTGGAAAGTGAGACAAGTATTCTGTATTGTCTCAGATGACTGATCCCACCAAAAATGTCTTTGATACACAAAATATTTGGCCATATTGAAGAAAAAAAATGAAGACAATTTTTCTTTTTTCATTTGTAAATCCAAATCCGAGACAACATATTTTCTCACCAACCAAGGAAATACTGATACCAGTATCAAGCTTAAAATACAGATGATACAATCCAATACCAATACATTTCTCGTATCTGTTGCACCATTGCCAGGACTATTAACAGGCAGTCCTCATGGTAGATGCTCTCCCAATTCCCCCTGTGGGATTGGAAGTTGTCCTCCAATTTATATTTTAATTTTTCTAATCTGTTTGGGGAGTTGGTGGACCATCACCAAACCCCCTCTGCAAGTGGAAGGTGTGTGAGTTTCCTCCCTTTCACTGTCTAGACTAACCGGTTGGACCGGCCTGTCCAACAAGTCCTAGGACGGGTTTGTCCGAGCGGCTCTTGGGCATCGCCGTCCAGCAAGCCATCAAACCGGCTCATCCGAGCAGTTGCCAGGCAAGGTCATCTGCTTGGACAGGCAAGTCCGACGTCTTGTCAGACAGTCATGTCTGAGAACTCGTTGGACAGGCCAGTCCGAGGACTTGTTGGACAGGCCGGTCCAAGGACTTGTTGGACAGGCCGGTCCAAGCAATCATTCAACCCAGTGCTTCTAACTGTCAAAACACAATGAACTGGAGGATTACTGTTGAGTTTTCACCTCTTCTTCCTACTCTTCCCCAAAATCAGTCCCTCTTTCCTTCACTTTTTCTACCTATTTTCTTTCTTGAATCTTCCTGAAATAGACTGAATTATAGTTCTCCATGGCTGGTTTTTTGTTGAATCTTATGCATCTTAGTAGTCTAATTAGAACTCACAATAGCAATTTCTCAACAACTCCTGTCTTATTGAGTGACTTCTTTCTTTTTCTATTTTCATTATTTGATTCATTAAAAGCTAATTATTTGGAATTAACGCCTCTGAATATTTGTGATAGAATTCTTGATTTTTCTTGATTAACTTTTTCTTGTCTGACTAAAAGAGACTGAGAAGTCCGGCTAAGATTGTTTCTTCCAAGACTTCAAATTGTTCTGTCTCTTAGTTTTTATTCAACATTCCTTTTTTATTCAATTTGCCTCAACCACAGGTTAATCACATGTACAGTGCCTAGACAGTGAAAAATGGCGTCCCATTTATTTTTTTTTGGAGGGCAAGGAGCCACTTTTCAACTCCAATTTTTTTGTCACAGGGGCACAGTGGGTCAGGGAAAAAGAATATAGAAACAAATTAATTACACAGGCAATCAAAAAAAAGATAAAAATTGTTGAAAAAAAACAAATTTTGTAGTTTTTTCAATATTGATGTAAAAAATACACAATTTGGAGGGGGGATGCGCTGAGAGTGGAGAAGAAAGAATATAAAAAAAAAAGTTAAAAAAGTTTTTTTTATTTTTTTCTTTTTTCTTTTGTCTTTTATGCTTTTTTTATGTCTTTTTCATTTTTTTTGTTCAATCTAAGAGTGAGGTGAGGAGACTAGATCAGTAAGGGCGGAGTTTTGGGGGCTGAGGGACGGGACGGAGCTGCGGAGGAGGAGACGTAGAACTTGTCGTCCGTTGAGGGGTCTTGGCCGGGGACGATGTAGCCTTTGCTGGGCAGGCTGGGAGTGGCTGGAGGAGGAGGAGGAGCCCGTCGTCAGTCTGGAGCAAGTCGGCTGGGAGTGGCTGGAGGAGGAGGAGGAGCCGCCGGCAACGGGGCCGTCGTTGGTCTGAACGTCGCCAGTCTGAAGCAAGTCGGTCGGCCGCAGACTGCTCTGTGACCTGTCGCATGGTGGAGGAGGTGATGGAGTCGTGCTGGTGGTCTTTGGGACGAGCTGGTAGCCTGCGATCTGTTGGCCAAGCAGCCTCAGGTCTTGGTCGCTCACTCGGTCCAGCGATTGCGGATCGGCCGTCAGATAGATCGCCGCCGGCGTCCCCGTCTCGACCACCTGGGTCGCATTCATAGATCCCCCCGCTCCGCTCATGTAGTTGTATGGCCTGATCGGAATCGTAAGGAGCCGAGCCATCCGTCCAAGCGGCCAAGCAAGCCTTGCCGTCCCTACAATAATCATGTTGCCGTAGGGGGTCAATACTGTTGTTTTTTCTTCTCTCCTTTTTTGATGTCACTCGTCACGCGTTCAATCAACTCACGGCGGTTCCCCCAGACCTAATCCATCGACCAATGGAGAAATCCCGACAAGAAGGACAGCCAATCAATCATTCTTTTGCAACCGGTCCTAGGCCACTGCCGACGATCCGATTGATGGTAGTCCGGATGAAAGAAGTGGCGCTGGTGCTGGACAGGAGATAGGAAAAAACTAAAAAAATCACTTACTTTTTCGAGTTAGTTTTTTGTCCAGAGGTAGTGAATGGCTGGCTAGGGAGTCGGTGCACTGACTCTGTAGCTGCAGGGTGCACTTGCATAAAATATGCAAAATCACCATTTTTACCCCGCGCCATTTTTCACTGTCTAGGCACTGTACTTAGTCTATTTAATCTGGCTATTTACCTGTGAATGAAAATCATTGGTTCTTTCATTCATTTTTCCGTGAGCCTTTCCCAAAAAAGACACTCATCCTTTTTTGAGCCCTTTTTCTCAAAAACTCCTCAACAATTCTTCTCCTCTCGAGCTCAGAATTTCAACAATTACCTCCTGGTCAATGAGGTAGTTATAACTCATCAACTGAGACAATTAACCTCTGATTGAATCAGAAGTTATAACTCATCAACCAGAAGGCAATCCTCCCAGTTGATGAGGTGTAACTACCTCATTGAATAGGGAGGATTACCTTCTGGTTGATAATTTATGACTACCTCATTGACTGGAAGGACATCCTCCTGGTTGGTGAGGTAGTTGTACCTCTGTGACCAGGAGGATTTCCTCCTGGTTGATGAGATATAACTACCACATTGAATGAGAGGAGATTACCTTTTGGTTGATGAGGTATAACTACCTCATTGCCTGGGAGGATTACCTTCTGGTTGATGAGGTATAACTGCCTCATCAATTGTAAGGTAATCCTCCTGGTCATTGAGGTTTTACAGCCAGCAAGCAACAGTGGGCCAATATATTACATTACAATATATGTTATATAATGTATTGGCCAGCTTTTTTTTATCAAAAAAGTATCAAAATTTTGATACATTTTGATGTTTTACAATGTAACACAGGCTGTATTGGCTGTTATCAAGGGCTTTTTTCCAGCCCTCAATGTTATTGCTATCAAACATCCACAGAGTTGATACACTCACAGGCGCGTAAAGTCACAAACTCTTTGTCAATTTAAAGTGCATTACCAATACGGGCATCACCATTGGGCCACTGTTGCAGCAAAGGAGGCAACTCCCAAACCTCCCACTTGCAGTGGGGGGTCTGGTCCGCTGACTCCCCCCAAAAAGATTAAAAAATTAAAATGAAGATTGGAGGACAACTCCCAATCCCAATTACCAAGGACTGTTGGTCAATGGTCCTGGGAGTTGTTCTCCCAAGTCTTGTGAGTCCTTTTTATAAGTCTTGTGAGTCCTTTTTCCAAGACCCTATTATCAATCTTTTTTTTTTTAATTATTTTTATGATCATCATAGTTTTCACAGGTCAGCTTGCCTAAGATGATAGCCATTTTTTGGATCAATTGCAGGCTCAAATGGCTGGTATTGTTCAATGCACTTTGCATGGGGGAACTGACATCTAAAGGTTGTTCTCATGAGCTGAATGTGTGTTTAAGTGCTTTTCGGAGTCTTTTTATACATGACACAAGTTGAATGGCCGGTCTAGCTTGATGTTGAGGTTAACAGGAAGGTACATACGACTGGTGCAGTGGTGATGGTCTTCATGAGGATGGTGTGGGGAGGTGGGGATCCCATGCCCCAGTATTCTGAATTTCTGATGCAGACGGACCGCGGATCCCATACCCCAATCAACCACCGGAGCGGATCGTCTTGTCTCCCCTTTCGCCTGGAATCCATTCCCCGATCAAAGCGCGTCACCCCTTCAAGTTCCACCTCTCAAGCCAACCACACCAACCGAACAACTTCCAACAAACAAACAAACTCACGACACTATAAACGATGGCACAGGCTCATGACTGGGAAGTAAGTTGGTCCGATTTGACTGCTCCTTAACTCTGTGGATACTCGTTATTGACTAGAACCTTCGATCGACCAATAAAATTGTCACCCTCTTGCTCCGTCTTCTTGTCCTCTCTCTCTCTCCCGTTCGTCATCATGAACCCTTGGTCTTCTTCGGTCGATTACTCGTAGATTCGTTTCTCTCAATCCAGACAAAGAGCTGTACGTATTTATACATACCCACACCAACCCATTCTCAGACCCGAAATATCTTCATATCTATATTCTTCTTTCACTTAAGCCTTTCAAACTTATCAGTCTTCGACCAACCCAATGTCTATAAATCCAAAACTGACGAACCCCCAAAAAACGCATCTACACACACTGTTTCAATCAACAAACACAAAAAAAAACATATTTATATGTGTGTTTAGTATTTCTATTCCAACCAGCTCAAGAAGTCATGCTGGGACCGGCCGACAGAGATTACGCCAGAGGAGGTCGAGAAGCTACCGGGCGCGCATCTGCTCCACGGGGCTGTGACTTCTCAAGGTCTTGGAGGAGCCACTGAGAAAGTCAGGGCGAGTCATCTCTTGGTCAAACATGCCCAAAGTAGAAGACCAGCTAGTTGGAAAGAGGTCAACCTCATCTCATCTCATCTCTCCCCTCCTCTTTTCACGTCTCCTTTCACTTTCTTTTTTTCGCTCTTCCGCTTTCTCCCCTTCGACACTCATTTTCCTTGCCCCTCCTCCTCCTCTCCTGTCTTTGAGGGTATTTCAATATATAAATAATAATAGGCAAACATCACCCGCACCAAGGAAGAAGCGATCGAGATCTTGAAAGGATATCAATCGAAGCTGAGCGAGATCGGCGACAAGGCCGAATTAGCCGAACAATTCGCCGAGTTGGCGTCCGCTCATTCCGATTGTTCGTCGCATGCTAACGGGGGTGATCTGGGCCTTTTCGGAAGAGGGCAGATGCAAAAACCGTTCGAGGACGCTACTTATGCCCTCGGTATCCATGAATTGTCTCCTATTGTTGACACTGAAAGCGGCGTTCATTTGATCTTAAGAACCGCTTGATCGATTATTTCATCTCATCTAGATCTTCTCTTCCCCAGCTCTCTCTCTCAAATACATACACACACCCTCCTCCTCCTCCCCTTGCCAGAAAAATAACCACACCGTTTCTCGTTATTTACATCCTTGTGGTTCTGTTTATAGCCATTTCCTTTTGTTACTCTCTTCACACCTCTTTTCCTCCAGGAAGACTTCAGTAACATTTTTTTTTATCGACTCCATATCCATTAAAAGCAATCAAAGTCCAATCCATGTATCCTGACTCACTCACACTTGATTATCCTCAAAGGTGTGTGCAAAATAGATGGCTATAACACACCTTGATTCAACTGCTTCTTTCTGTTAACAGACACAACTAGGATTGTTTCCTCCAATTGGAGGGAACACAGCTTGAGATAAGATGACAAGTGAATGGTTGTTGAATCAATTGCTGCTCCCCCATGAGGCCCAAATTTCCTGCACTAAATTGATGTATGCATGATACATACAGCTATTTTGGAAAGGGTTGTCCACTTGGACTCGCGATTTTTTTTTTTTTTTTTGAAATTTTTGAAATTTTTCTTTGTACTGAACTACAGCTGAGGCGGTACATCTGTCATCAGTAGTTCAGTTCTGACAGGTCCAGTTCAGTAAAAAAAAATAAAATAAAAATAAAAAAATAAAAAAGAATTTGCGAGTCCAAGTGGACAACCCTTTCCGAAATAGCTGTACAACAGGAGGTGGCTCCCAAATACTGAGAGATGTTGATGTGACTACTATGTGGCCAGTGCTGGACTGTTATGATCCCACTCATCTGTCTGATCCTGGGAGCCATCAATCCAAACCTCAAGTTGGGGGGGTTGATAAGCGCACACCAACCCCCATGGCGCACGCCAAATCTGCACGTCAAGCGCAGGTTGGCGTGCGCCCCTGCACGCCAAATCTGCTACAGGCTAGATTGACCTGCAGCTAGCGTGCAGGCCTG